GCACTTCTAACCCTATAAATGTGGACATGTATGTCTCTCTGGTGTCTAATTAAGTACTTATTCCTGCAGTAAATAATCATCTTGATCATCTATCACTAGTGATCAAATTTTCATTCAATGGTAATTTTGACATATATATATATATATATATATATATATATATATACTCCTAGAAGTTAATTGAATGGTCTACATGACCCCTATTTTAGGGGTGGATTCGAGCTGAATAGTTAGTTATTTGAGCTCGGCTCATCAAAAGAGTATGAGGTTCAAGTTCGAGTTTGAGTTCGGTTCGAGTCAAAAGTTCGATTCGAGTCAAAAGTTCATAAGCTTGATTTCGGTTCAAACTAGAGATTTGAGTTCGAGTCAAAAGTTCATAAGCTCGAGTTCAAGCTTGGCTGGGCCGTGTTGATACATGGGTCATAGGCATCATGACACAAACCCGTAGACCTGAAACTCCAAACCCAACACGACCCAGACCATCGTGTCGGGCTTGGCACGACCCATGTGCCGTCATGCTGTGCCATGCCATACTGGCCCAAATTTGGGCCAGGCCATGCCGAGCCATGGACAGCACAGCCTGATTTGTACCTCTAAGTCAAGCATTTCATGAACCAAACTCGAATGACTCATAAAAAAGCTTGACTCGTTGCCACTCCTACATGATTCCCATATTGGACCGACTAGCATATTCAATCATAAGAGGTCCCCATTGGCAAGGAAGATTTTGTAGATACATAAGATAATATCTTTTTAATTTACAATTACCTGTATCAATCTTAAATGTGTAAGCTAATTAAGGATTTCATCATGGTATTAGTCAAGAAAGCTCATTTGAATTGGGAACAATTGAAGGTAAGTTTCTAACTTTAAAAAATGTATTTTATTTTTAGCCTTAGGAAAATAAAACCAAGTGATAAAAAAACCTTCTATTTTATATATATCTTCTGGTGTTTTAAAATTCAAACCAGAGCTTATGACCATTGAAGCAGGTGATGGAGAGGTTTAATGGTTCAAATCTCATCAGCATGCCGGTCAAAACTATAAGGGAAAATTATGTGATGGCTTAAAGTTTTAAATATCGAATTACCCCCAAAAAGGTGATTCACTTTATTTAAGACAACAAAAGGCAAGTTGGGTTGAACATAAACATCCCCTATCACATCATTGATTGCTTTTTCATTGTTCACTTTACACATTCAATATGTGAAGGGAGGTTTAAGTATTTGTTAGAAAATATAGAGGAGGTTTAAGTATTTTTCACAAAAGTATAATACCCGTCATGATTTCATAAGCAAAACGTGTAAAATTCTAGAAATTGAAATGTGGGGGAGAGAGAGAGCAATGGTTTTAAAACATGCACACACAAGATTAAAAAAAAGGAAAAAACAAAAAGGATTTGAAGCTAAAATAAATTTTTTCGTTAAAATGAAAAGAAAGAAGAGAAGAAGATACATGAGATAGGTTTCTAAAAATAATATTTTTGTGTTTACAAACAAAATTGTTTCATTGTGAACTACTCGAGTAGGAATTCTTGCAAAGATGAAATCTAAATCTCTCACGAATCTAAAAATTAAGGAAAAAAAGGAAAAGAGAAAAAAGAAATTAATTATATAGCAAGCACTGATTAATATTAATATGTTTGGAGATATTACAATGGGGAATTGAGAGATGAAACTGGTATAGTAAATTTAGAGGAATCAAAACTACAAGAAGTTTATTGGTAATAAAAGTAAATAATCATCAATTGGAGCCACATTAGAATTGTAAGAACCATGATTTTCGAACGGCAATTGATTCGGATAGTTGGACCGTTTGGCCCGGGAATCATTAAGGCAACCAATTCTGTTTTATCTCAAACCCGATTCCTAGCAAAAAATTATTGAATTGATCAATGGCCGATTGACCCAAGCGGTTGAACTATTGAACAGGCCATTCATTCGAACCAGATGGTCAAACCATTGACCCAAAAACCGATGCCAGGATAAGAACCACCATCTCTCTCTAGCTCACGTGGACCTTCCCAGAAGGTTGTAGTTGGTAACTAGTTTGTAAAGTCCGAGATTGGATTCAAATCCCACCTTCACAACTAATGACTAATAACTAACCTAGTTGTTTATCTGAACAAGACAAACAAGTATCAGGCTTCATAATCTACAAGATGTAAAAGATATCGCTAGATTATACACTTGACCAACAACTTTGATTTGTTCCATGGTTTGACTAGATATAATATAGTTCGAATGGTTTTGCTGAAAAAGAATGATTTTTTAGGTGTATGCTTTGTAAGGCTGTGTTTGATTGCAATGCAAATAAATTTGTATTGATGCAAAATCATGACAGTGCAAATAATTTAATTGAGTGTAAATTCTGACCCATTTTTGTTTCAAATTTTAGCTTATTTTTTTATTGCAATACAAATGAAGTGAATTAAAACATAAAATTAAATGAGAATTTGCATTTTTTTTTCATTTGCACTCTCATGCATTTGTGATAGTGCAAATAAAACTGCACTGCAACCACATACAGCCAAAATAAACCACTTTTATACTGTTCTATGGTTCAACTAGTACTACCTGATTCAATTTAGTACAAGTACTCAAGCCTTAATTTTAGCATTGCACCTTGTATTCTTTAATGTACTTTATGCTTTCCTAGGTTGCACCTTAAGGTTCATTTGAGAAGCTCATCAATTTACTTTTTACCTAATCGCGCGAACAATATAGCAGCTTTCCCAAAGTACTTCCATGGGAAGTATAACCTAGACCATAAAATGGAGGAAATCAAGAGCCAAGATAGAAAGATTTTCCTATACCCTAGCAAGAGCTGCAAAATCCATTTTCTGCAAACTGGTGATTAGGTTCAGTCTTTTTTGATCAAGTGGGAAAGTGGAAATATGAAAACTTTTGGTTATAAGACACCAGCCTCAACATGATAAATAAGATTCATGGTGTTTGAGGCATGTTTGTCTTGTGCTTATAGTAAAAATTCATTAAACAGGGTTCCTTGTACCTTTGAAGTTTTATATTAATTAGGGTTTGCTAGAAACCTACTTTTATAATTAATTAGGAGTAATAAATTATTGCTACCATATTGCAAAGGCAAGGACAAAATTGTCTCTCTCTCAAGAACAAAACATGTGCTAAGCTTGAAAATATTTGTAAGTTTTTTACAAACCTTATACAAGATACCAACAAGTTTGAACTATTCAATGGACTAGAAAGGCCAAATATTTGGTTTTACTCAAAATTGAAGGTTTTTTTTTTTTTTTTACATGCATTTTGGAAATTTAGGGATTTACTTATATATTAATCCATATATAAGCTCCTTTAATTGACTATTCAATGTTCAAAATCCCGCCCTTCTCAAACCCTATTTCAGCCTAAAACTCACCATGATGATTTTTCAACATTTCTCTTAAACTCACCACAACTTTTCAAAATGTCTAAAACTCACCATGTCAGTAAGTTTTTATTTTCTAAAACTCACCTTCCTTTTAGTGCACCGTTAATGCTTCTTAACAGAGGTGTCCATGCCAGCATAAATAACAATTTTCATGACCAAATTACCCTTGAATGGTGAGTTGTTAGAGGAAAATTTCCTGTATTTTTTGTTATTTATTTGCAATTTCTGTATTTTTCTATAATTTTTGATGTTTTTTCTACAAATTTTATTTTCTGATTTTCCATGTTCTAAAAAAGTACTCTATATAATAATCAAGAGATCTAAAAAAAAATACTTAATTTGGCCATTTAATTTGTTCATCATATATTGCTATTATTTGCTACCTTTCCTTTTTTTTTCTATTCTTTTACAGTCTAAATGGAAGCTATAAAATATATATCTAATTGAGCAATCAATTAGGTTGCTAATTGATTGCTCAATTTTGAGTACTAGTTCTATTTATCAACATTTTTTCCTGCCAAAACATGAAACCAACAGTATGTCTAAAAATTTGGTACAGTCTCATTCAAGTGAAAATCATGCAAAATTTGATAATAAATTTAAATTTGTAAAATTTTAATAAATATAACTAAGTTGTTGGGTGTAACACATGACTAACAGCACTAAGGTAATATATCTTTATATAGGAATTAATGAAGCGATACTTGGCTCATGATTTTTTATATTAACAGTTGGAAAGACATTTTCACTTCCATTTTCAGCAAAGAATATATATAATAATAATAACTATAAATGTAATTAAGTAAATTACAAATAAATACCCTATACTTAAAGAAGTGGTAACACTCAACCCCCAAACTTTATTTGCTACAAAGGCCCTCCTGAATTTCTATATTTTAATTCGGGTTGATGGTGAAAGTAAAATTACTTGATTGCCTATTCAATATTTTATGTGCTGACAACAACAAATATCAAAGTGATGATGAAAATAACCATTTTAATATAAAAGAAACGTATAAAAGTTATATTTTAGAAATACTAATATGAAAGGACAAAATTGTCTCATGAATTATTAATAATATAAAGGTTAATTTGAAAATTTAAAGATATTTAAAGAAATATTTCTGTAGAATGCCAAAATTGAAGCAAAATGTAGGAATAATATATTATTCCTAACCATAAATAAGGTTTTAAATTCAGAAATCAGAACTACCCTAGATTTGAAATGGAGTTTTGGGTATACTTAAGGAGAGCCGTCGGATTGGAAATGAGTGATTGGGTCATAAATGCAGTAGATTCCAGTATTCCACTCCAGTAAAATACTGTCAGAGGAAATTCCATTCTTATCAGGAACGCACGTGCGAAGAGCCAAGCGGTAGGCCGGTAGCCACCTGAAATAGGAAGAAGCCACACGCGTCAAAAGAGTCTACGTGGCTGGAGGAGTTAGTCGGTAGCTTTTGGGTGAGCTGAGCTGGAGAGAGAAAATCCCAAATAAGTCGAAACTGGACGCTGTTTCGTCCAGATTCATTTCTCCCCATTTCCCTCTATATATTACACCCCTCTCTCTCTCTCTCCAGAGCTTCCTTTAATTTCTCTCTCTGGAGCCTCCAGCTCCCGATTTGACGTTCCACCGCGCCCGAATTTACAGTAGAGAGAGAGAGAGAGTGGGCGTTAGGAGAGAGAAAGAGTCCGGTAGGGAGAAGAATGCAAGGAGGAGGGAATTCGAAGATGATGAGTCCGAGGAAAGGAGAGAAGGATACTTTCCACGTTATTCACAAGGTTCCCTCCGGTGACGGTCCTTATGTTCGAGCTAAGCACGCTCAGGTATGGAGATTGGAGATTTAATGACCCTGTCTGTTTTTCTCTTGCAATATTTTTCATTCGATCTGAGTTCACAACCGGTTGAATCGATTTTCCTGTGTTGAAATCTGCGGAGTACAGAGATCAATGTTTTCTTCCATTCTTCTAATATTGGTTTTTTTTTTCAGATTTTTCTCTTCGTTCCTGTCATGATTTTTAGAATTATTCCCTGAGTTTTTCGAAAAACAGTGAAAAATAGAGATCAAGAAAAGATGAAAATGGAGTTTTCACGGTAAATTCCGCGAAAAAGAAAACAGTTTTCGGATTCTCCTTTCAACTCATTCGTCAATCTGGGCGGTTCATGTGGTGGACGAGTGGTGCTGGCTGGGGACCACTGAAGGCAGATCCAAGTGATCTGGATCGTTAGATCTGTATTATCAGGCTTATCTACTAGGTGGCCCACTTTACTCACTCAAATGAAGGATCTCTCTCTCTCTCTCTCTCTCTCTCTCTTATCGTTAATTTCATTTCCGGTGATTTTGGCGGATTCTGGAGTTGTTGACCGACTCGTCCAAGACTCGGCGTCCCGGCCTGTCGACGTATCCCCTCAGCTCAGTTTTCTTCGGATCTCATTCTCAAAATTTCAATTCAATTTTACCTTGTACCGTCCGTCAATCTCTTCTTGACCACTTCTCTCTGCTCATCATTCTTTTCATCTTTTGCCACTGTTGCCCCCCATTTTTGTATTATATTACTAAATAGCCCGATAAGAACAGCGTAGATTCCTGCATATCAGCGCACGAAGCACAAAACAGGATTACACAGAAAGAACGACGATTAGACGCCCATGGTTCACGAACTGGTACGCAGAAATTTAGAATGGGAGAAAGAACAGTTCTTGTGATATCCTTCTCCGGGTAAACTGTACAATTCTATGGGCATCAATGGTCTGAAATGAAAGAGAGACAACGAAACAAAACTCTCCAACGTCTGCGTTTTGATCTTGATGCAACCCAGCAGATTGCATTCGGTGATTTTTCTCAACGTGGGTCGTGGGATAGGAGATCTATGTGTCTGCTTACGTGTTTTGGACGATACGCAGTTTGTCAAAGGCTTTATTTTCTTCTTTTGCTTTTGTTCTCTTCTTCGTACCAATCTGAATTAATCTCTTGCATTCACTGGTCTTCTATTTTCCAGCCGTCTAATTTCCGTAGAAACTGGATTTAGAATGCATTAATTGATACCTGTTCTAATTGATTCTCTGCTTGCGTTTTCAGCTAATCGAGAAAGACCCAGAAGCAGCAATAGTTTTGTTCTGGAAAGCAATTAATGCCGGAGATAGAGTAGACAGTGCTCTCAAGGACATGGCAGTGGTGATGAAGCAGCAAGATAGGGCTGAAGAAGCTATAGAAGCTATTAAATCCTTCAGAGATCGTTGTTCCAAGCAAGCCCAAGAATCACTCGACAACGTTCTCATTGACTTATACAAGGTTTTTACTTGAACCTCCAGTGCATGTGATCTGATAATTAATAGCTTTGCCATGCACAATAATCCGCTCTGATTTGCTACGAACTGAACCCACTTCTCGATGTGTATGATCTGCCAACTTTAAATCGATTACATCTTTCACTAATGGTCATCACGATAATGATATTTGCAGAAGTGCGGGAAAGTAGACGAGCAGATTGAGCTGCTGAAGCGGAAGCTTCGGATGATTTACCTTGGAGAGGCCTTCAATGGCAAGCCCACCAAGACTGCCCGTTCCCATGGCAAGAAATTTCAGGTGTCCATCAAGCAAGAGACATCCAGAATACTGGTATACCTGCAGCTAGCTTAAATTCCTTACCAATAACTAATTAATTAATACTAGATCTCAAACTTGCTGAAATTCCTTAGACCCTATGGACTGAGACAATCAGACCACCTACATAAGAAATCGGAAACTGCTTCAATTCAAACACCTGATCATGTGTTAGTAATCTTCTCCTTCCAATTTAACTAACCATGCATATACGTACACTGTACACAGGGTAATCTCGGTTGGGCCTACATGCAGAAAACAAACTACATTGCAGCTGAGGTGGTATATAGAAAAGCCCAGCTGATAGACCCTGATGCCAACAAAGCCTGCAATTTGGGCCTCTGCCTAATCAAGCAGGCTCGATATGATGAGGCCAGGTCTATTCTAGAAGATGTTCTTCAAGGTAGACTACCAGGATCAGACGAGATTAAGTCAAGAAACCGTGCAGAGGAACTGCTGCAGGAACTAGAAGCACAACAGTCAGCCTTTTTGTTATCAACACCTTTGGGTCGCCGGGTGGAGGAGCTGCTGCAAGATCTGGAGTCATCGCAGCCAGCAGTCTCATTATTTTCAACTCCTTCAGATTTCAATATAGAAGATGACTTCCTGGAAGGGCTAGACAAGATGATGAACGAGTGGGCTCCATCTAGATCAAGGAGGCTGCCCATCTTTGAAGAGATCTCTTCATATAGGAATCAGTTAGCTTGTTGAGTTAATTCTTGTTTAATTTATTTCTCTTTCTTTTGATTCTGTGTGTATGTTCGGTGGGGGGGGGGGGGAGAGGAATGGATAGATCATTTTAGGTAGGGGTACCTGTGTAAATATCAGGCATGTTGAGATACATAACTGTTTATACAATGTATAATCAAACATGCAGGGTACCCCCTTGTTCTTGTCGTAAGACTCCTGAACAAATAAAGGTAAGATGGTTATGGGTTTGGATTGACCTCACCCATCAAAAGCTCTAAACTTTGATTTTTCTTGGACAGTTTGTGTATTTTTTTTGTTTAATTCTACCTCTATGCAGTGTGCAGGATTCAATAGATCAAAAGGCTAGTGATGTTGTTCAGCCAAAAGAATTAAAATAATAGAGGATGAAACAAATCAATTTTGGAAGAGATTTGAGCATTAATTTCAAAGTTACTAAAATATATGAGAGAAGAAACTAATGGCACAAGGAGAAATCAATGGCTGCATTAGATTTAAAAGTTGGAAATATATAATTTCCAAATTTATAGCTTCTAATCAGCTGTTATGTTCTTAGGGGATGTCTCATTTCTTAGAAAATCTGCAATTAGTAGTGTGCTATTCTGTTTAGAACATTGTTAGTAATTGAATTTCTGTTTTTAGGAGCTTCTCGAATTCTAAATTGGAGTACGTAATCTGCTGCATTTTTAGTAATTGCATGGTAAATTTCGGTTTCAGTTAAAGCTTTGAAGAGTTATATATACATGCACATGTATGGTCCTGAACAAGAGAAATGAAGGAGAATTATGTTAATGAATTTTGTTCTTTCCTTACAATTGTTCTTTTTCTTTTCTTGAAATTAGTGTTTGAAGAATCATATAATTTCTTATTTTCTCTGTTATTTTTTGGTAGTTTTTGCGCTAGTATGGAAAAACCAACAACTATTCTCTAGATTTTAACCTAGATCTAGATTTAAAACATACTTTGTTGAATTCTTGAAGTTTGAGGCAAATTAAGGTTGTCCATTGAATTTGCCTTCTATATTTCTTCTAGTCCCTATATTATCACCAGTGTGCTCAACACCCCCCTCTAGTTCAATTATTAGTTAGGTTGGTCAAACTAGAAGTCAGTCCTAGCTAGTAATCCACCTGGTTGAACCATCAAACCCCTTGACCATTCATTGGGTCATAGGTTAGACATTAAATCCTTTTTTTTTTGGTATTTTGTACATTGTGTGTTTAATTAATTTCATCATTAATAACAAAATCTTCATTTATCATACTTACTTTTATTTAATATAATATAATATGATAAATATTATGATACCACAAACATGGACAATTTTTTATTTGAGTTTTTGTATGTATGCATGTTTGTAATATAACCATGTATTATTTATATAGATATCATATATAATTACATAAAACTTACAATTAATAAATTCAATATTTTGTATTTATATAAATTTATAAAACTTTTCAATTTTTTCTTTACTTTATAGACACAATATATAAGAGATATATGGATTAAATCCAAATCCGATCCCAAGTTTGATATCTTGGATTTCAGATAGGATTCGAATTTGAATTGCTAATGTGGACCTAACCCTTTTTTATATGAAATATGGATTGATGCTATGTTAGTCATTTATTTTTGAATTAAGTGTTTCAGTGTATGTAATATCAGAATTCAAAAAATATGGACTACTTTAATAGTTTATAACTTTTTATAGAGATATCCATGGATCTTTTCATAAAATATTAGATTAATTAAATATAAAATTAAGTTTGGAGAGAATCAATAATAATATAAAATATATTGGTTAAGAATGAGCCAGCCAAATAATATAAAAACTATATACATATGTAATTAATTTTCTTTTAATCTTTCTTTATTTTAAATCACAGACCAAATAGTAGCACATATCAGCCTTATAAAAGTGGAAACTTGTTTTTGTTTTTCAAAAGCATCTTTTTGTTCATTTGAGAAACAAAATTTCTAAATTCTACTAAATTTGTGTGAGAACAACCCCTAAAATATAACGATTAATATAATTTTGAGAGTCATCATGAGGGGATTTTCATAAATACTTGGATATAGATCTAGCCTCTCAGATTTCAAAATGCACAACAGTTCTTTTGACAATATCATGTTCTGGGTGCAACAAGTCTAAGTATGGCTCAATATATAAAAGCACTAATTCTTGCACCCTTAAGAGAGTAGTTTTAACTTTTTAAGCAAAATATAATTAATCCAAGGCATGTAATCAATGTTAAAGCTATGGTCATTAGAATTTTCATCACAAGAAGGTTATAATGCCTACAGTAGATCAAAATCAAAAATATTAACTGAAACTAATGGTTTATTACATTTTTTAGCCCAGAGTAAGAAGATTCTAGTCTGACTGGCTAAGGAAATGAAGGTAATTTGAAAGGAATATACATCTTAAGCATGTCCCCAAGGTGAGTTACAATGGATATGGCATTACACAGAATAGAATGACGAAGACCCCGCATATAGTTGCGACAAGGCTTAGATGTTGATGATGATAATATTGTTTTTATTATCTTCTAAAATGAGATTTTGGTTCATTAATGTAGGCTCCAAAATGGCAATTAACCTTGATCTCCCTCAACACGCACACACAAACAGAGATCCATGTTTCAAAATATGCATGCAAATCCTAATTAAGCAAGGGTTTTGGCTTGTTTGAACACAAAATGTTTAATGAAAACTTGGACCAACTTGACAGTGGTCTTAGGCTACATTTGGCATTTTTTATTTTAAGGATTTATCTCCTTTTTGTTGTTAAAATTCAGTGTTCATAAAGGTATCTTTAACTGTAAAAAAGAGATAAATCATTAAAATAAGAAATGCCAAATGCAGCCTTAATGTCGTTGAGATGTTACAAATGCTTTCATTTATTATGTTTATTCATTCTTTTGAGGGGGAAAGACACTTGTATAAAACTTCCTTTATTTTCTTATGATGTCAAGTTCGAAGAGAATCAAGGAAAAAATAATCTTTCACTGAAAGAATGATTGATTTTTAAGATAATAATTAGTACTTTAATAATGTAAATAAGTATTGAATATCAAGGTATTAATGGGAATTTTGATGCATCCATTCAATCCAAAGGGAAGGATTTTATAGGTTGTATTGTATGAGAATTGTTATAAGGTTCAGTTTGGGAAGAATATAAACACAAATATGTTGATTACAAATACCATATGCAAGGTTCTGCATTGGACATATTTGTATTTGCACTCTTCTCAAGCCAAGGCTCCATTTGGGAAGAGCATAACAAACGGTTGATTCAATGCATTTATGCACTTTGGTTGAGATCGGATTTGCTACTCACAGATTGCATCTCACACCAACCTCACAGTGCATCGCGGCTGTGCATTGAGAACATCTTTTCATGAACGATAACATCAAGTCCAGGAGATGTTCACAATGCATGGCTGCAATGTGCTATGAGATTGGTGTTAGGCACGCTCTATGAGGAGCAAATCCGAATTCACTTTGGTTAAGTCTTGCATGACTTTAACAAGAGTACATTTATTATGTACTGAAAATGGCAACAACTACAAATTTCAAGACATATATACATTCAAAATAAGAACAAAGTTTGCATAATGGGGTAAAATATTTAAACATACCCCAAGTTTTTATAAATTGACTTAAAAACATACCTTGAGTTTTTCAAATAGACTTAAATATACCTTGTGGGTTAATCTTTCGGGACAAAAACATACCTTTCATAATTGAAACTTCTTCCATTTAAAATTTCTAAAATCCTATTTTTTCTCTTCTATGCATATGCATGAGACCTAACTTCACATTCATCTCCTCTCTCATGAATACTTGTGATGTGGGGTTTGTTTATGTTGATCCTTCTAGTGAAGTATTGGGTGCCTTCCACATAAAGGCCAATACGGTCTAACCTAATGGTATTCCTTATCCGTATCCAAAGCGTATCTCGATACGTATCTTAAAATTGCCTTCCTGATATACTCGACGTATGGTCAAAGACTCTTACTTTGCAATCATTAATAATTAGCTCAAATCTTGTTTTCCACTTCCATGGAAGCTGCTTTGTATGCCCAATAGATTCCTAGGTTTCCATCAAATTAACAAAATTTGAAAGATTTTTTCCCAATATACCCGCTACCAACATGAGTTTGGAAAACTTAGGATATATTTTGAAAATTTGAAAGAAAATAAAAGGTAAAAAATTATAAGGTATATTTATGATTATTTGAAGAACTTAGGGTACATTTAAGTCAATTTATGAAAACTCAGCCTATGTTTAAGTCTTTTACCCAAATGGTTGCAATCTTTTACATTCGAAGTCTTGAATGAAGGGTATGTTTAAGTATTTTACCGAAAAGGTGAATCCAGTCTTGTCACCGGCCCATCAAAACTAAAAATGGCTTTGAAAAAGTGCAAAATTATCATTGCTAAACTAAAGCAACTTTGCATTTTTATCAACCAGACATGTTTGTATTTGTACTCTTCTCAGATGGAGCCTAGGGTTAAAAAAAATAAGCATGGACCACACTTTAGAGCACACAAGACGTCATTGTTGAACGTGAGTCCAAATTTGTCATTAACAGTTTCAATAAAAGAATCAACCATTTACAAATTAGCCAAGTAGGGGTGGTTCAGTTGATATATGTTATTAGTTGGTTCGCTCGAACATAGATGCAGATTCGATTCCTGTAATCACCCATTTTGAGGAGGGGGTTATTAGTGTTGTCTATTACCAAATACCAAAAAAACACCCCTCTATAAATCATTGGAAACATAGTCACTTATTTCCAAACACTTGCTATGCAAAAGGGATGGAGAAAGTGTTGATCTTGATTAATACCATAGTAATTTGTGGGCAAGCAATACTCCACTGTCTTGCCCCAAGAAAAGGGTAAATTGCAGATTACTATCTTGTACTTTGGGTAGTAGCTTACCCTCTAATCTTTCATTTGCAACAAAGACCATGTAAGCTTTCAGATTCTGACAAAGACCCCTTCCATCAGTTAACTTTGAAAAAGATTCTTATACGATTATTTCAATTTGTCTAAATTTCAAAGCTACCCTTTTCTCCAATGATTTTTAGCTGTTTTTATTTCAATTTACTAGTTTAATTGATATTAATTGCATGTTGTGTTTGTTGCAATTTTGCATTTTCATAGAAATCTTTTTTTTTGTTGTAATTTCCATTTTATAGAAATTTCTCAAGTGGGTATTTTAATAAATTAACTTTTCCTGACACTAAAATTAACGGAGAGGGAGTATTGTCGAAATCTGAAAGTTTGGAGAGTAATTATCACTAACGGTGTCAATTGGACTGAATTT